CAGAACGTTTAGTCACGCCGAATGTTGACGGTCTAATATAAGACAGGACTGGTCTAAAACTGAGACCTAAAGACCTGCATCCAGGGACAAGAAGAGCAAACTACCAACAAGACAGCTGGCTGGGACAAGCAATGAGACCAAGAGGACAGATGATGGGACAGATAAAAGAGAGGACAGAGGGTAGGGTGTAGGGTAGGACAAAGAGGATGGAGGGTAGGACAGGAAAAAACTAATGGTAGGACAGAAATGATGGAGGGATGGACAGATAGGAAGTATATAATGAAAAGAAAGTAAGATGGAAATAAGGGAAAATGAGAAATGGGATGGGAAGATAAGATGGGAAGGAATACAGGAAGAGAAGACAAGAGGAAGTGAAGGAAGGCAAGAAAGGAAGAAGAATGGACTAAAGGTAAGAACCTTCACTTAAGAACCATAACCTTCACTCAGGAGTCCTAGACAACTACAGACCTATATCTAATCTAACTTTCATCTAAAAAATTCTATAGAAACTAGTTGCAGGTCTGTTGCGTGATCATCTACAAATTAATAATCTGTTTGAAGAGTTTCAGTCAGGGTTCAGAGTTCACCACAGAACTGAATCTGCACTGGTGAAAGTCACTAATGATATTCTCATGGTCTCAGACAATGGACTTGTGTCTCTACTGGTCCTGTTAGACCTCAGTGCTGCATTTGATACAGTTCATCACAATATTTTACTACAGAGGCTTGAATATGATGTTGGGATTACAGGAACAGCTCTAAAATGGTTTAAATCATATCTATCTGATAGATTCCAGTTTGTAAATGTAAATAATTCATTCAGCCTTTATTTGGACAGGTTAATCCCATTGAGCCTCAGGAACTCATTTACAAGAGAGAACTGAATAATGAATCTTCGTCATACACCAAAGTTAGTCATGGAGTTCTTCAAGGTTCAATGTTTGGACCAATACTCTTTACTTTATATATGCTTCCATTAGGTAAAATTATTAAACTTAATGGGATAAATGTTCATTGTTATGCTGATGACACACAATTATATTTGTCCATTAAACCCAATGAATCCAATCAGCTACTTAGACT